AATTCCGTGATAAAGTATGATATAATTAAAATATATAACATATATATAGTACATGTAAACATAATTTCTTTTCGTATTTAATTAACTTTTAAATATATAAGAGATTTCAATTTTCTTTTTATAAATCTTAATTTAATTGAGAAAAATTGCAAAATTATACATATGTGAATACATTATACGCGTACGAACAAGCATGTATCTACACAAACGCATATCAGAATTTTACTCTTTCACATTCTCATGTATCGTGGTAAATATTCCAAAACGACTGGCGCTGATTGCGAAATCCATGGTGCTTCGATTGAAATTGAGTGATGCACTGGTAAATGCACGCGGGAATGTGACACGATGATTGCCATGCGGGAAATATGAAGAAACAGTTACGAATAATGGCATCGAAAAGCGCGACGGGAACATACGAGAAAATTGTTTATACGAGAAAATCCCGTAAATTCTCAAAACATCATCAAATATTTGCGTTTTATACGCGTTTACAAAAAATTAAGTATCCACTTTAATACATCGCATTTGTCACAAAATATTTGTCGATAATACGACAAAATATCTAAATAAAATCAAAAAGATGATAAATTGTCGAATCATCTTCCTATTTAAATTTCTCTTAAAATTAATTCTTAAAAAATTTTTTTCCTCTGTTATATCATCATTAGTGTTACAATTATCATAATTCCTACAAAAGCTAACCCAATGTTTGCATAACAAAATGTTGATTTTGAACCATTTATGTAGGAAATTCAAGTTGCAATGTGCGTAGGGAAATAGGTCAAATTTCAAAGAAAGACAGCGAAATATCTATTTCCTCTTCGAGTTATTAAAAACTGCTTCAATTTATTAAAAACAATAAAAACTATGACAAGTATTATAATACGCGAAAATGCCTCTCCGAAGTATAATATAATATTTACGAGAGATAGCGCGGTTGAAATATTTTATGCTTCGCATTTTTTTTTTTTTCAGACTCTCCAAACATCATATATCCGCGAAAGTCGATCTCGTTCAAACTTTATGTGGCTACATTCACATGACAACACGCTCAGCCGGCGTTATTACGAAGAAACACGTAATCAATTGTTGCACGCTAGACAAATAGGTATCATAAAGTCTTTCTCAAATATTTTCTACATAAACAAGAGATTTAGTCTTAACGTGCTTGCTTAATATATTCTATTCGAAAAAAATATAATATATAAAACGGAAAAGTCGACCATGCTAAATTTCGCGAATATAATTATACGATTATACTTTGAACTTGCAGAGAAATCTTTGCGTATTGTATTACTTCTCACGGTTTCTATTAAATTAAAGCGTAAGAACGGAAAAGAGACACTTCGCCGCCTCCTTTTAAATTTGTTCTGTTTTCTTACATTTACGATTTGAATAATTACTTTCAAGTTTAATGATGTTTACAATAATTGACAGTTTACAATAATTGAAATATATACAAAGTAGCATTGTAAAATACGTTTCAAACATAATAATTTATCGATCTATATGACGTATTTCACTCTTTGAGATATTCTAAGTGTGTACAATTACATATGTATACAACAGCCATATTAACTGTTTACTGTTATAAGTGAGAGAATATATTCGACGATCTGACACACTCTACATACGATCATTATGAGTGAACAGAGAGAAGCTTTTTTGGAAAGAAAAACTATCATTGGAATGTGGATAGTCTAAGGTTCGATTATATATCTTCAAATAAAAATAAGCAAAAATGAGCAAATTTACTACAATATCTAATTTCATTGATCAACACCCAGTAAATTTGCTTACTTTTATCATGTTCACCTTACTTCAAGCTACACAATCGATTCCCTGATGTAGCATGTGCTCTAAGCATGTTCCAATCTCTATGTATTTATCGAAAAGAAATATTTTTCGCACTAGTTTAAGGCAACTCTTCCTTAACTACTGTTATAATATTTAAAAAATGTATTATGTTAATAAAAATAGGATTTTTATTCAACGAAAAAGACATTGAGATTAAGGCTTTTCATTATTTTACGGTTTTTCATTATTTGATTAACTTGCGGTTTACGCTTAACCTCATTTAACTCGACGATGGAAAAAATGTGTTTTTCTAGCTATAATTAATTACAAAACTAAGTTTTCTAGTGTGATAGTTTTAAAAGTTACTCACTACGAAATCATCAGTTTAATGATTAACGATAGCCAGAAAAAAAACAATTTTTACATTATCATCAGGTTGAGCTAAAGCATAGTTGAAGAAAATAAAAAAATCGGGCCTAAAAAAAGGGCTGATGCAATAAAGTCGGGCTATAGGCTGGTTCATCGTTCTCTCGCAAAACAAGTTCGCAAAACCAGATACGAAGTATTATGTTTTGATAAAAAAAGAATTATGAGAATAATCGCGAGTGCCGACATACATTCTGCTTCGAAATGACTTACAATTAGCAAATATTGAAGGATTGGCTTATAGCTCTTTAACGGAAAGCGCATATCAAGTACAAACTGCAAAGATGTATGCATTGGCATGCATTTGAATATTAATTTGTTATTTCTATCGGATATTCTTGTCCCTGCATAAAAATCGATAAATATCAAAGAGCAAAGAGTCGATGGGAAATAAACAGTTGGGAAACGTTAGCCTGTATCAGACACTTTTAACAAATAAATTAAATGTAACGTAAAAAGTCTTATTGGAAAAATCAGTAGAGAATTTTTTTTCTTTTTTTTTTTCTTTTTAAGAGAGAAAAGAGAGAATGCTTCATCTCACGATATACATCACAGTCGCACAATCATTCAAACTGTGACAGCTGTATACATATTTAATCTTTTAATAAAGCTACCCCAGCTATTAATTAGAAGTTACCAATTATACATTTTTACGGGAATTAATTATAAGTGCGTAATTTTGTATAGAAATAACAATTTCAGCTTGGTTGCAAAATTTTAACGCACAATTTTTCAACGAGTGATTTTTAAGCGCAATGAGATCGCGCGGAGTGAGGATCTAGTAACTTTTAGGGATAAAACAGCATGCAACCACCTGCCGTCGCTCGTGCCACGAGGGTGGAGGACAGCAACGGGAGATGGCGGAGAGAAGGAGAAGACGAGAACGGAGAAACGCGAGAAAGGGGAAAAACGGATGGACAAGGAGACGGTGGAAAGAGAGGATCGCGCGTGCGAGCGGAGCGATACGGAGGGCGGAGGATACGAAGGTAAAAAGCGGCGCGACGACGCGATATCGATTCGCGGTAACTGATCCGCGAACGTATACACGATGCTCTTCGCGCGGCGCGGAGCGGAGCGGAGCGAGAAGAATTAGGAGACGAAGAAGAACGGACGCCCTGACGCTTTATAGTTTATATATAGAGGCTGAGGCCACAACGAGCAGACGGCCCGTGGCGCTTAAATATAGATGAAATGCAATGCGGGGTGTCTCCCGCGACCGCGACAGAGACTAGAGAGAAGGGGGAGAAAGACATCGAGACTCTTGGCGTGACATACACGATCAGAGAGCCGAGGCGAGAGCGCGCGCATGGAGGAGAGGAGGAAAGATGATAAGAAACGACAGAACACAAACGGCAAACGTCGTAGAGGATGTGCAGAAAGAGGAAGAGGAAGAGGAAGGGAAGAGAAGGGAAGGAGGGAGGAAGGCGGATAAGAGACCCCGCATACGCAGGGAACAGCAGGGAACAATTATGGCCGACCGCGCAGCGTCGTCTGCTATGCTCCGGACGTAATACGAAATACGTGATCGGCACGTCGATCGCGAATCGCGATCTGTACTCGCGGTCGTTCGCGCAGAAACGCGTTGGCACGCGCGAGTATCCGACGAGGAGAAACCGAGAAGTTGCTCCGAATTGTGGACGTCGCATCGCGCCGGCAAGAACGACTCGCCTCCTTCCAATCTCGCCCGCCTTCGTCTCGCGCTATGTTCATTCGTTGTGAATATTATCAATGAAGACGGGAAAAGAGAACTGGTTAGACGGCAAAAAGTGCGATAGAAAGAGCGTAAAGCGCGAGCGAGCGGCGCGGCACAGGACAGCACGCGGAGTAAGCGAATTTCGCACGCACGCTCGCTCGTCCGTTCGTTCACGCGGCGTGCGCCG